GCAAGGGGAAAAAAAAAAATGAAGTGGCCGTTCTGGACAGTCGGTCCCTTGAGCAGATTTGCCAGTACATATAATATGTATTTGACTATACAACAGCTTAGAGTAAGACTTCATCCTATGCCATTAAAAAAAGCGACGTATGACAGAGTCTTACACTAAGCTGTTGATATGAAGATGATTGAGAGGAAAAAAAGGACAAGCAGATCTAGTCAAAATTTTCCATTTTCATCTTTGTCTGTCTTGACCAGATATTCCGTTTTGAGAGTTAAAAGTAAAATAATTTTTCTGACAAAGGGCCACTATCATACACAGCTGTAGAAGGAACGAATGGAAATAGCCCACAGGACCACATGGCAGAAACACAGTTGTCCCCAGATTTGTGAATACTCCTCTTTTCATCCTGTAGTCTCACACCCACACAAGCATAAAAAGCAAAAAATACATATCATACACATGCATGCATGCGTTTTGTTGTGTTTACCGACTCGGCATAGCTAAATCAGGATGTGACATCCGTCATGCAGCTCCAGAATGAGGCATTGCGTCGCCTCACAACAGATTACCGACACATTCCCACAATATGAGATTTAAAAAAACAAACAAACAAAAAAACACAAAAAAACCCCCCCATTTTGATTAACATGATACAGTGTAAAACAATAACAAATAGTACAAACATACAAACACCCGTTCGACCAACAACATGAGATTAAAGGTTTGAGTGGTTGTGACAGTGACATTCAGATTATGGCCAACTCACATGCTCCCATTTATGCTTTTAAAGATGTGAAAAGAGTTACAACATGACTACTTCTCATTGATAATGATATTGTGTGGTATGGCCAGGATTGAATGCTTCTGAAAGAATTTTGAGAGCAGGAACCTCTGACTACTCAGTGGACTGAGTCAGGTGGACAGAGTAGGAAGACTAATATAATATATTATTTAAGTCAATAAATCGTCTTCTACTCGAAGAGAACTGATCTCTAGATCTAGACTTCCTTCCACTGCTGTGAGAATCCAGAGAAGAAAAACCTGATAAGACTAACATAAAAGGCTGGTGGGGTTAAAAAGAGCAAGAAGAGAGTGGGAGGAATTTGATTTGTCAAGTTGGATCTCTCCTAAAAAAAAATGGTGAAATGGTATGGGTTTAACGCCCCTATCAACACTATTAGGTTATTTAAGGGGCGGGACCTACTATTTTAACGTCCGTCTCCGACAGGACCGAGCCAAGTGGGAAATTCGTGTAAAGTGCCTTTCCCAAGGACACGTCGGACCGAGCTGAGGCTCGAAACCCCGAACCCGCAATCTCACGATTATGAGTCCGGTAGCGTAACCACTAGGCTACCGACGCAACCCAATATCTCCTTCAGTTTCTTGTTCAGTTGTTTGTTCGAGTAAAGAGAAACACATCAACACAATTATGGCAATTTAGTGCAGGGAAAAAGAAAGACAGACAGAAGCAACAGAGGAAAAGTTAATAAGCAGAACCTGGCAGTAGCAGTCTCCATCCACCCTCCCTCACATTTCAAATAACAGGAGCTTCTCTAGCAGAAAACAGAAACTCCTAAAGCTTGCTTCAGCAAGACGTTCTCCTTTTGCAGCTCTAATCAACATGGGGTACATCCTCAAGATTTAGTCTGTAGACAGTTCCGCAACCACAACTGCTTTTGATTAAGTAAGAGTTTTACAGCACTTGTAACACTATAAGGTCAAATAAGTGCCGAAGATTAGAGGTGTTGCAAGAGAGTAACAAACATAAAAAAAGGATTAGAGATATTTAAAGGATGATACATATTTGATAGAACAGAAGGAGCAAACCACAGCAGGCACCTGCCAACCACCCATTCCACTACTGGACGGTGTCATCTCCCACAGCCAGCACTCTTTAAAGTCACTTACAAACACATACTTTTTATCATCTTTACAGCCAAAGAACCAATCAAGCTTGATATTCTTTTGGCAATCTGTCAATAAATTTTAAAAGTGTAAATACATCACCAGGGCAGGTTGATTCTTGTGACTAAAGTCTAAACAAAATCCTGTGACCACACATCTAGCCACATTCATTAGTCGCTTGGTACAAATAAAGAGAAGTAAATCAAAGCGATAAAGGTCAATTAGTGCTGAGAAAGGGCAAAACAGACAGATGGAAACAACAGACGGAGAGTAAAAAAGTATGATCCACCAGTAACACCTTCAAACCAATCAAATAACAAACAGTAGGAACAAAAAACCCCCAAAAAGTCACAAGAGCTCCAAAATATGGAAGTAAAATAATCCCTTCAAGCCCCCTTAAAAATTCAACATCTGTTTGTTCAGCCGCGTAGCCGTGCCTGCTCATACATCAGGCTGGAAAGGTCGGACATGTTTCTCCCACTCCTGAGTGAAGCCGATGACAGAGGAGACAACCCCACAGACAGCAGCCACGCCCGGGCTCACGTAGCGCAGTCCTCCCAGGGGGATGAACAGGTCACAGAAGTCACGCCAGAAGTTCATTCTCACCGCATGCATGTCCAGCTGAAATGTGGAAGGGTGGGCACAGCCGGGCACAAAATGCGCTTGAATATTGAGTTTGAGAAAGGAGAGCCACAACAATATGATAATGATTGTTAATTGCTGGGAAAAAGAAAGAAAATTTAGTTTTAGTAAAGGTTTTAGGGCACTTGCAACACAATAAGGTCAAATAAGTGCCGAAGATATGTGTTACAAGAAGAGAGAAAAGCAAACACAAAAAAGAAGTAGGGATCAGGACGATAGATGTTTAATAGGACAGAAGGAGCAAACCGCACCAGAGAACCCGCCAACCACCTGCAAACGCATGTCAGACAGAGACAACAGAGGGAAAAGTTAGGGCCCACCTTCATTGCAGAAGACGAATTCAGTAATAAAACTAAAAGTGAAACACAACGGTATATAAACAGGCAATGGACGGACAGATTTATTCATGGATAAAAAAGAACAATAGACAAACAGGACAAAAGCAGATGGAGAAAAATATGTATGCATGTAAAGGTAAAACAACACAGTATTATTTTACTTTACGATGGACACACAGAGTTGCAAAGTGTCAGACACATATTATTATATATCGCTGTTACTATTATCAACACATTCCATCGCTATTGACAAGAAATACCTATTTACTGATGGATGAAAGGAGCAGGATATCTTTTCAAAGGATATAGATCTATCTCACACTTGTTCAGCCGGTCAGATTTTTCACCCTTTAGTCCAGCACTTTTACGGTTATTTCCCCTGACCGAGCAGTTCAAATGCAGCAAGGGAGTAATTATTGTAACATAAGGTGTCTTCACAGCTGACTCATTTAGACTAATAAACAAGAGAGTACGGCGTTATATTTACTACCTGTTCCTCATGATGGTGGTTTGCTACCACACACAACTCCAGTCATGACTTTTGTTCCCCTGGGAGGCTAAACATGGGTTGCCGAGGCCAAGATTTATACGGCCCTCCCATGCTCCTAAATGGCCACAAAGCCAACCTTCGTGAAGGAATTGTGAGTCCCACAGAGTTTTCCCAGTGTTTTGGTAAAGACAACGTTGTTGATCCTCTTCTGCTTTACTTCACCTCTCAACAAGTTTAAAAGGGACCTTACATATTCACCGTTTGGACGTTTGAAAACTGGTAAGTAAAAATCAGTTACTAGCTCCCTCGTGTTATTGTTTTAAATTAGTTATTCTTTAAAATGAGCACAATATAAAGAAAACACACTTTATTACTCCATTGTCTTCTTATTCTGATGAATAGTTGATAGTATTAGAGCATGAGAGAAAGCTGTGTTACAATAAATGTTATTATTAATATGAGGAGACTGAAATCCTTTATCTACGTGGTTTTGTCATACCTGTATAAATTACTATGACAGAAAGAAGTAAATACAATATATGAACAAGATTAGGTTTTTGGCTCCACCTTTATTGAAAGTATCAACCCTTCTTTTTGCTTCTTATCTAAATGGTGTACACAGACACTGATAGTTGCCTACTTTTTGCTTTTTACAGATACCAGGTCTCCAGTATGCATACTTTTGGAGAACACATGGATAATCTCCAGTCTTTATGTCGCTTTTGTGGCAGCAAGATAGGGGCAAAATCTGCCAAGCCTAAGGACTGTAGTGCCTACAGGGATTCTATCTGGACAGTTCATGCCATCAACGTACAGGATGACGTTCCTGGCCAGCACCCAAGCAAGATGTGTCAGAGGTGCTACAGGACAATGCTCAGTTATTGGGAAAAAAGATTATATTAATGATGGCTGACATGCCTGCAAAGAGAGCTAGAGAAATCTCTTGGGAGCCCTACAACAGTGAGTGTAACCAATGTAGTACATGTAGAATGTCTCAGAAAAAAGGGATAGGGGGTCGCAAAAAGAAGCCAGATTTTTCACACAATGAAACATTTTTACTTTACAACTTAAGCCAGGATAATATATTTAGTTCTCTTTATGATAATAGCACTATCAGCTTTTTACCCAAGATGAACAAACAAGAAAAATGTCATTTTAGTCTGCGGAGCATGCCATCATCCTTTAAAGAAAAGTTTGAATATAGATTATTTTCGTCCTTTTTTACACACCATGTTGTCAAAACTAAGTGTAACCACTATTTTTGTGCGGTGTGTCTTTCAGCTATTTTAAAAATGTCTATTTCAAATTCAGTGCCATGCCCCACCTGTGATATAACAAATAAAACTTGAATCAGCTGAGTCTATTTTACTTGGACAGCTTCATAATTTAAAAAAATCAAGTGCAATCTCATGTTTACATTCTGTAAGATATAAAGAGTATGTATCCCATTCTTGCTGTCTGGGTGAATCTACACCAACATCCCAAGCTAATACTGATATAATGTCAAAATCAGAGGACTTTTCTTTTCATTCAAGTTCAACAGCTCCTGGTTATGACTGTTTGTTAACTAGTACCCCACATAACAAAAATGAAATGTGGACGCAAGTATTTCTCCTTTCAAGATCAACACATCTGTTTCAGTTGAATCTGTAGTTTCACCATTATATGTAGATGCAAGTACATCACCCTTGAAAAGCAACGCATTGGTTTTGCTTGAATCTATGACAGAATGTAATTTACTGGAGAAATCTGTACTTGAACTACTAGACAATGAGCAGGCCATTTATTCACGTCTTACAAAGCATAAAATTAATACAGAGGATGGTGATATGTTAGTTTGCCGAACAAGGGGACAACCATTGTGCTTCACACACTAAACTTAGTAAAGCCTCCTACAAAATCACTACTTGCTAGGTCGCCATTAAAGAAGTAAAGGTCAAACAAACTAGCTAAAATTAGGACTTTGATTTGAGGGGATAAAGATTCAGGTAAAATACAACACATCACAGATTTAAAAACCATCAGAAAAGCAGGCAGATGTCAGCGAGGCAGAAAGTCTTACAGTAGCAAACTTGTCAAGTGTCTGTGGTATTTCTTTCAAAACACACACAAATCTTTCTTGGACTCAGTACAGAAAAGCAACAAAATTTCTCAAAGACAAATTAACATTCCAGTCAGAATTATACTTATTTCAGGATATTTTCTGGAATATTTTAACATGCTCAAAATATTGTGTCCATTACTTGTCTTTTATTTCTATGTCCGCTCAGTTTATTATTGCTGTACAAATGCTATTTATACGAGTATTCGGAGTGAAGTCTGAAGCTTTCTTTTATCATATAGTTCTGCCAGTCTTTCGTGTGCAATATTCTATGTCAGCAATAGAATAATTTATACTGAAATTGGAACAGTTTGCATAATGAATAAATATTTTAATATATTTTGTTTTGTCTTCTTGTTATTACCACTAATGTGATCCATTTTGGAGTTTGTGTATGTGTGTGAAGAGCTCTTATAAACTCTGGGTCAAACTTCTTAGCATTAGGTACCAGATACCTCAAGCAATGTGCCATCTGGTATCACTTTCACTGAACCCCCCCCCCCCCCCCCCGTAAACTACAGGGAAGTTGAGATAACAATCACAAGGTAATAAATCTCAGACCTTGTTCTAACTCTTTTCTTAACCCTGGTAGCTTCAGCCCATTCTCCTTTCCTTTAATTTCTTTACTGCAAAGGCACAACGTGGTTGGGAAAAGAGAACTGGTCAGTGGAAGTCTAGACTTGGCAGGCTGAATACTTTCACTGAAATCTGAGCACTGGGGAGCTTCCCCCACTAGGGTCTCACACACAGTGATTGAGTAATGAACATAGTACTTGGGAAAACTATCCTTGTGAACCAGAAAACTCTGTAAAGAACAGAGGACACAATTGAAAACGAACAATTCCCCTGTAAAGTTAGCTGTGGAGGCACTGAATTTCTTTCTTGTATTAGAGCCACCGGGAACACCTAAAACCCCATACAACGACAAGAAGAGGAGAAGAGTAGATCTAAGAGCTTGGTTTAGTTTCTTTGAGACATAAAAAGAGTGAAACTATTGTAATAAATGTGTAAAGAGAGAAAATTATAAGATGGAAAGTGGCGGCCATTTTGTTTTTTAAAGAAAAGAACAGGAAGTTCTGTATTGCCTCAGGGGCTCGATGGTTTGCCAGGTATGATAAACAAGGGAAATAACTAAAGAATCCAAACTGAACAAGTGTGTTCCTATTCAAATATGCCATCAGTCAAACATCCCATTAGAAAAAATTGAAGGCTCCCTTCTGTTGAGTTCTATGGGTGATGAAACTACCCAATAAAATACGAAACGACCCCCCCCCCCCCCCTCCCAAAAAAAAAGGCAAACTGTAATAGATTTCATGAACATTTTGCAGATATACAATAAAATATTATCTCTGAGATTAACAATTATTTTTGACTGCCCCAAAAGTGCCACCCATAAAAAAATCGAACCTGCAACTGCCTGGGTATTTTGGCGTCTGCTCCATTCTCCTTGCGGTGTTTGTCCAGTTGATTGTGAACCCGCTCAAACTTGATCACATCCGATGCACTGGCGGCAGCGAGGGCAACCAGCCATGCTCGCAATGACCACTGTGTCCAGAAGGCATTATCCACCTGGTTTTGAGTACAATGAGAACCACATCAACACAACAATGGCCACTAAGTGTAAAGAAAAAGCAAAATAGACAGACAGAAACAACAGAGGGAGAGAAAAGTAGAACCTATGGGTGACATCTTCTAACCACCCACACTATTATTATTATCCATCTGGGAGAGAGAGGTATATACTTACACACACCATTTTTAATGATAGTTTAACCGTTCTTATCTAAAAACTTGTAGAGGGAATCTCGTGTCCTTGAGCAGTACTACAGTCAGAGACAGACAAACAGAAACACACATACACAAACACACACAAGACGCAATGACATAATATAGAAACACACATAGATAAATGCACAAACTGAAGCACACACAGATACACGAATGCCCAATGTCACCCTGACCAACCCCACTGCCCCACACACACACAGACAGACACACTTACATGTACCAGTAGTGTTGCCGAGACCAGTTTCACTGTCACACACACATGTGTCATGACATGGTGGAATCAGGCTTTCGTCAATTTTTGGGCGTGTAGAGTTATTGGTATCAACCTAAAGTTTGTTCATTTGTCTTGCTTTTGATTAAAAAAATATCCATTTATTTCGAATACAAGTCGAGATACAGTATTTGCAAATGAAGGAGGTGGGTGTCACCTGGTTTCAGAGGTAAAATTAGTGAGAAATGGCTGCCAAAGACCAGTTATAATTTCCTTTTAACTTGAGAGTCCGTGGGAACTGAAAAATTTACATTTTTTGTGCCTTTAATCAATGTTTTTCAGTAAAATCCACACAGAAATGTGTTCTTTGTAGGCATGAAAGGTGTTGAGCCCAAAAAACAAAAATTTGATAAAAATCGACAAACCTGCGGAAAAATGCCAGTTTCTTCACTCTGATTATTTAGAGGGGCGCATGATTTCGCCATGCTGCCTCACATATACATACAGATGCACCCACATACACAGACATGATGTTACATTGACAAGTCATACTTCCTATGCACATTCAAACTGACAGACAGGCAGACACACATACACACATAATCTAGTATTTGCGTTTGTCGAGGGCGCGACCCGCGAGTCGCTGTCGCGATTTTTGCATTTTTCAAAAACAAACAAAAAAAAAAAGAACAAAAAAAGACACCACTTGGGAATTACAAATCGAAAAGTTTTTTTTTTTAAATGTAGGATTTTTCATAACATATTAATCATGTATTTTGATAATTTTAAGGTGTCCACGTATAGTTATTTTCATACGAAGAATATAAGTACATTACATGCTATTTACATTGCTGTTTCTCTTTCATTGTCCCCTCTTTGTTGTGTTTTAATTGGTATATTAATGTTATTGTTATTGTTCTGATGTGTTGTTTTTCAATCTTTTTTGGTGTTTATATAGAATAATGTCATTTAATTTGATGTTGTTTCTACCTTTTTAAAATATAAATTAAATGCGTTATATGAGAGCGTGTCTCCACCAAAATCAAATACTGACACTGGCAGGCCCCTTGTGTGAGATTCCATAATTTACATGATATAACATTCTGTACTTTTTCTTGAATTCGACACGTTTAGGGTTAAAACGGCCAATCTTCGGATAGGAGGACACACGCCCTTACTTGTTAATTTTTGTGATTATTTATGCGCTGTTCTAATTTTGTGTTCATTCTGTTGTGAGACCTTTCTTTTTCACATTTTTACACTCTGCGTGGCTATAAATGATATTCTGGATGCTTAAAACAGAGTTACAGAGCACAACAACTTCTGGTGCTTTAGATTGAATTACCTATATCAACATACAATGCTATACGTCGTCCCATAGAGTTGAAAGATTGAAAATTAAGGGCAACTTTTATAGAAAGTTTTTGCCATTTTTTGTGGCAACTTTTGGGAATTTTTGCACCAAAAAATGGCAACAAACGCAGATGCTAGCATAATGCATTCAATGGTGTTAGTTTGCCCAATTCCACAGCAACACACACAAAGAGACACATATTCATGCAAATGTGGTGTTATATTGATAAGTCCCACTGCCCAACATAAATACACAGACACACAAACAGAAGACACAGACACACACACACACACACGTACCTATTGTGTTCCCCTGACTCCTAACTAGTCCCACTGCCCCAGATTCACATACACACAGGAAGTTACACAGCGTTACCTTAACCAGCCCGACTTTGGCCAACCACAGTAGGTGGTCCATGAGCAACCAAATGGCCTTGAAGCTGTGCGATGTGACGGCCAGAACCATGAGAGCCGTCTCAGGGATGGACAGAGAGTCCAGAGCCTTGTGGGCCAGATCCACGCTGTTGCCAAGCCGGAACACTGCAGCCAGGAACACGAGGAAATACAGAAAAAAACAAACTTAATTTACACTCAACCACTTCAACTCAGTTCCTTTAACAACACCTCAAACCAGTTTTGTTAGTGACATTTCAATATTACAAGGTCAAAATAGGTTTATAGCACTGCTGTTTCTTACAGGGAAAGGGATGGAAGGATAAGAGGAGGGAGAGGGGAATGAAAAAATGCTGGATTGGAATTCGGGTGCACTTTTTTTTTGGTAGGGGGGGGGGGGGGAGAGGAGGGGGGGGGGATAAAAGATTAGACTTGAGCACCTAAAGCCTTGTTGGCAAGATCCATAATGTTGCCTAGATGAAACACCGCAGCCCAGACACAAATCACAAAGACAAACACCGATATAACCCTGTTCGTTAATAATGGCAACGTTAATCTTTTGAAGGAAAAAAGGTTAAAACAGGCACAAAATAAAGGATAGGAAAAAATAAATACAGAATAGGTAAAAACAGGTATAAAGTAAAGGGTAGAAAAATATGTTAAAAGGATAGTACAGATTCAAAGTACTGCCGCTCCTCACAAAGGATGGGGAAGATAGTGCGGTGGGATGAGGGAGAGTGTATGTCTTGTGGGGTGTGGGTGGGTGGGGGGGGGTATAAAAATAAATCAGAAAATTGAAATTACGATACGTAAACTGAAGGTTGAAGTGTCCAAAAAACAATAATTTAAAAAAATAAAAAATTACAGAACAGGGCTCAATTTCAATTACTAAGGTTCCATGCAGAATAAATGGGAAGCCAGCAGCCTTACATTTCCGAGACAAACTCAGTGCACTTTCCAGTTTCCTCAGTCGAGCCACAACCTCTCCCTGCACATCTGGCGAGCCGTATGTGAGCTGCCATAGTAGAAGTCTTGACCCATATTGGACAAACCTGTGGACCGACAGTAAATACACAAATGAAATTTGAATTGCATTCAAGATGACAACATAAAAATAAAGGACGCAACTCTTTTATTTCTACCAATGCTGAGGTCAATCTGCAGGTCCTCAATAAATTTCTGAAGGTAACTTATGTGATATGCACTACAAAAATAAGGCTCTCATTAAAATAATCAAAGTGAAAAAAAATGGCATTTTTCTGCAGGTTTGTGAATTTTTATCCAATTTTTGTTTTTTGGCTAAACACCTTTCATGCCCATTTAAGAAAACATTTCTATGTGAATTTTTGAAAAACGTTGAATAAAGGCACACAAAATGTCAATTTTCAGTTTCAACGGACTCTTCAGCAAAGGAAATAACAAAGGAAATTAATCTTTGGCAGTCATTTTCTCACTTATTTTACCTCTGAAACCAGGTGACCCCACCTCTCTTCGCCAAATCTTGACTTGCATTCAAGATAAATGGATATTTCTTTCCATCCAAAGCAAAACAAATGAACAAGCTTTAAGATGATACCATTAGCTCTACATGCCCCCAAAACAGTGAGTAGAGACTGATTACACTGTGTCGTGACACATAAAAATTGCAGAGGGCTAACTTCTGTGTCTTCTCTCACCCTTTTAATAAATAAATAAATAGCTTTCATTTTTTCACTACAAAGACCAATTTTCAAGAAATCATTTGTAAATGGTACGGCAAAGTGGTAAGACTTTATCTCTGCACGACATCGACATTCACATGTAAAGTCTGAGCAATCAACAAAATCAACAACACATTAATTACTCATTACCGTGGAAAGGACCCTCTTCGATTTCACCAAAATGAACAAACCAACCATTCATGCACACAATTTACCAAAACAAAACAGTGGTTTTAGTTTTGTATAGTGATATAATGCAGATACCATCATAAATAAATGAAAATAAATCTATTTGTAATACAAGTGATTAATTGAAAAACTGGGTTTAACAGCCTTTTCAATACTTTATGTTATTTTCTTAAAAGACATAGGATCTCCTATACATAGACTATCTCTCATCCACCCAACTAAGTGTGAGGAAAGAAATGGAAACCCTCTAGGCAATCTTCAAATGGGAACCATTGAACTCGTCACACAGTGAAGTCGACACAGCTGAAAAACGTGTGGTGAGTTCATCAAAAAAACTAAAAAAGTATCCAAATAACAGTGAATTCGTCACACCATTTCCTCCATTTCAACAACAGTTGGCAAAGTTCGGCATTTGTGAGTAAGATATTTCTGCTGTACTAAGTTGCAGTCAAACTCAGATACAACAGGACAGACGGGACCGGCAGTTTTTCCCTGTAATAAGTGAGTCCTGTCATAACCGTTATCAAGGGAACTTGGAATGTGCCACCATGGACTTCGAAGCTGCTGCATTGGCTGCCTTACATACACACAGCCTTTCCAGAGGTTGATGTGATGTTTGTGGATGCTTCTTTCATTGGGGGCAAGCAGTATGGCATCACATGCAGGGGCTGGAGATGCAAATGCCTACCAATATGACCCAGCATTCCACAGTTGTTGTCGATGGCTCCTGGCACTGCCGTTTCCTTGGGAGAAGATACAGCAGTCTGGCAGAGTTGGAAGGGGAGGCTGCAACAGAACGGCAGTGCCACCCCAGCACCTACATACGCCAAACATGGACTGAGTCAGAAGATTGGTCACCTCCCAGTTGGTCCTGTTTCTACAGAAACATATGGACCAACTATGACCTGGAGGGGTGGCATCGTCGACAGAACTCCAAGGCTTCCAGTGCAGAAAATCTTAACCTGTATCCGATGCTGCAGCTACTGGCAGAAAAATCCAGGCTTCAACTTGTGACCAGAGGATTCCAGCTTCTGAAGGAGTCAACAATCATCAGGCGCCAAAGAGCTTATGCCAGGACTACCAATGTCAACCTCATTAGGACCTGGGATCGCCTGGTGATTGGGGAGATGGCAGCCCGCAAGTTCTGAGAGCTACCAGCCATTATTGCCATACAGTAAGGACATGCACATTTTTAACAGGTTTTTAAATATATTGCACCCAAAAAGGTGTCCATTTTCTCTTTAAAATGTTGAAACAGAAAGTACAAAGGCTGACATGCGTTGATTTTGACTGAATTTATAAACTCTGGTTTTGTATTAAAATATTACTAATTAAAGGTTAACATATATATATGTGAGTTTGCCTGCCAATCCACAGTGAACTCCCCACACTTTTTGAAAAGTTCAAGTATGTGACGAGGTAACTGACGTGATCACTGGAGGTATGTGATGACTTCAGTGTGTGACGAGTAACTGGAAGCCCTTCCAATTAGGGTTAAGGTTATGATTTAGGGGTATGGGTAGCCTACACTATTGGATAGGGTACAACATCAGTTAGAGTTTGGAAAACTATTCCCATCTAACTCTCATATTACTACCCGAATCCAGCATGCGAACAAACCAGTTTTGTTAGTGACATTTCAATATTACACGGTCAAAGAATGCCGCCCTCAAGACAATGATATGCATGTTCAAGAAGAACATTTAATAGATCTAGTCTGATACTAAAACAAAGGTAGCAATATCGCAATCTTGTCTAGCATTGCTTAGCTTTGATAGAATTCTGTTTGAATGTCATAGAAGATAAACGGCTCATACTCTACTTTCGCAGAGACAGTTTTCGGAAAGGAAGAGGCTAGCCGTACTTAATGACGGCTA